ATCCTCCGAATGCTCCCTGAGAATCGGACAGCAATTGATACCGTCACGAGTTATTAAGCTAATCGCGCACGCCTTGAAATATGCATAAAGGTATCACGCGGAGGACGCGCCCCCACGTCGCTAATGAAACGATCCATTACCGTGATAATCGACTTAATAATAACACTGTTCAATCATTCCCGAGAGCGACGGACTTCGAGCTCGTTTCCCCCCCGTGTTCTTCGTCATCGAACGCCGGATTGATCGTCGATCGGGGAATTACGCCGTGTATACCGGAACACGCGGTGATGACGCCGAAACATTAAGCGGGCGCTAAACGCTCGCGCGCGAGTCGTAATTGCGGTTAAACGTCGATCGTAGCGCGACGACGGTCGCAGCTACGCTCGCTCGATCAATCGAATGGTATTGGCGCACTCGCACTCGGTCAAGGCGGTGAAAGAAATCGTTCTGGGTGACGGCTGTCGTCAAGGGTGATCGAAGTAGCGCGCGGTCACTTCGCAAAAAAGCAGCTCGCACGGCGGCGCCGGTTCAAGAACAGCTGTTTCTTCCGATCGATTAGATCAGATTTCTCCGGCGAGTTTTCGACGATATTTCAAATAATCTTCTGACGGTCTCCCTCGAAAGTCGACGCGCCGGATTAGTATCTCCTGTAACGAGAAACTACGAACCGTTGAATATTCATGTGTTGTTGCTAGCTCATGTGGCATATCTGCCTTGTATGGGCAATATCGTTAACAGAGAACCGCGGTCTGGTTTCGAAAACATCGCGCTCTCTCATTTTACGGAGCGAGAGGTAAGTCGATAAGCGTGGCAATTTTGGTGCGCCGACCGGACGAAATGGCAGACTACGGAAATTCATGAAAAATTCGCGGCATCGCGGCGAAGGCCACACAAAGTGGGGCTTCCCGCTAATGACTCGGAAGTGTATTACCCGTCCATTCGGGACGCGTGCGCGCGCGCGTCCGAAGATAAACGGATGAATTGAGTTTCAGCCGTGGCGCTGAATGTAAATCCTGAATGGAGGCGATCTGCTTTCTCAATTATATCGCCGCGTGATTGATGAAGCCGCCCCCGATGGGTGTCCCGTCGTCCCGAAGAATAGCGACGCTTTTCTTTTGTCGCGGACTTGCCGCTCCGCGTGCATTCTCTCTCTCTCTCTCTCTTCAGGTTTATTCATAAATACGCGTGACGGGACGCTCCCAAGGAAACGATAGTCTTACCTCGGAAATCGTCTTCTCCTCGGGATGAGTTGATAAATGTAGCGAGCGATATAATATACATAGCTTGTCCCCTTATTATACCGTTATTACACAGCCGTCAAGCTTCTCGTGAAACTCGTTACGCGAATATCAATCTCGCAATAAATATCCTTACGTTTAGGCGTCTCTCGGCGTTTTCACCGAACACGGAATCGATACCCCACGTTCGCCGAAGGATCCGTCGTTAAAATATGGCGCAATAATGGCGAGCAACTTTTCGGAACTTAACGGGGGGGGGGAGGGGTA